AGAACGGGACGTCCTGTTTAAAGTCGTCAGGATCAGTGAATGTAACTTAATGAAGGACCTTTCTGCAGCTTTAAAATTGTAAAACTGCTAATGCCACTGAGGGTGGTCTTCTTCAAGTTTCAGGGTTTGGCCCGTTTTTTTTTCTGTTTGCTGTTGCAGTTATTTGTGCCGCTCTTTTTTTATTTAATCGCTGTCTTCACTATTAACATTAGTATTTATCAGAATATTGTCTAATTTATAGCTCGTGGGAATATCCGTGACTATCCTTCAAAACTTTGACGAGCAACGCTATTTTTGGTCCACCTACTTGTTCTTTCCCACAGTGAGCGATATGGGCACATTTCCCTCGCTTTTGTCAGCAGCTTCCACTCTTCTTGTCGGCTGGCGAGGGGAGTTGTAGTTCTTCCTGTAGTCATGCTGGTCCCATGACGCCACCTTGTGCTCGTCTTGGTTATCACAGGTCCAATGAACCATACATTAGCATCCGCTTTTCATTGGGCTTCTGTCCTTTTTAGAGGGAAGAATGGATAAAAACGAAATAACACCTAAACCACTTCTAATGGTGAACGTATAACTACCACTTGAGAGTGAGATACAAGACCAGGCATGATTTCAAGAGCACTTTTATTTCCCTTGATTTGTTGGTGGACATTTTGATATTCATTTGTGCTGTATAGCTAAGCAAATAAACTACACAATTATTAACATGAATAACAAATGAGGTAGTCGACTCACAGAACAACACACGTGGCTAAAGTAAAACAAATTAAAAGAGGAGCAAACCGGAAGGAGGAACTCTCATAAAGGTGATCTCACCTGGGGTGTGTCCTTTTCAGGCAGGAGCGCTTGTTTGATTTGACAGTTTATCACGTGATTTGAAGCACAGCATGTTGGTATTTTTATTTGTTTTGGTGATATCTTAATAGTATTTTTAATTCCCTTTTTATTTTTATTTAATCTTTTTTCTAAATGAAAATAATTGTACATTAAGCATATACTATAGTGTTAGTTTAGGCTATAACATATATTTCTAGTACTTTTATAAAATTATTGTTATTTTATATTTTGGTATTGTATGATTAAAGTTGCAACTGACATTTTGTTGTTGAATGACAAATGTAACCTAATTTAATATCCAAATGGTCTAGTGCAGCAGCAATGTCAAATGAAACATAAACACAGTAAGGTTACGCACAGTTTATTAGTACAAAATCCTCACATTCTTACAGAAATAACAGCATTGTAGCACATTGTAGCACTCTCCTGGGGTCCTGGCCTGTTCTCTTCAGTTTAGGCCTCTTCCGCCGGTCTTGGCTGGAGGTGATAAAACAACAGTTTGTCATTGCTTTCTGGAGGTTTGCTTACATATTAATATTTAAATGAATCATATGTTAAGGTCAGCATTTAAGAAAAGTATGTCACATTTAACCTGAAGTATGCAGAAGTTAAAACTTTGACCTTTAAAAAAGTAAAAGTGTATATACATATTTGTATGACCAGCAGATGTCATTATAAAGCTTTTAAATGTAGCTCTCTAACATGGCCCTCTTACCTTGGATTTGCCACAGTTGACGATCTTGTTGCCTTTAAAGAAATAGATTGAGTGGTTAGTTATTACTAAAGTCAATAAGTACTGTGCTTTTCTTTCAAAGCTGCTCTAAAGACAACGCTGATTGAAACAGAGCTTTAGTATGGGAGCAAGCGATACATTTCAACCCCAACTATTCAAGAAGAAATGGGTAAAGAAAAACTTTTGTTTGCATTTAACTACTCTGTTCAGCAACATGCTGTATGATTAAATCCCAATCCCATTCACAAACACATAAACCTTAGAGCGTCTTCTGTTTCATGCTGTTTTGTCTGCTTGCACCCCCTCCATCAGACTCGCACTAAAACACACACACAATATCACATAGGATGTATTGCTGTTGACTTACCTGCCAACAGGATGATGGAAAGGAACACAATGATTCCTGCAAAGGCAAGACCCGCGACACGTAGTGTATAGTAGTCTACAAATAAAAAATAAAAACAATGTCATCAGAACATGAGTCTCACAAACTAGCTTCCGATATATCCCTCCACTTTGTCTCTTATTTTATTTGCCCATCTAACATCCACATGTGCTTGCTGAAACTCTCCTTATAACCTGTGCATGCTTTCCACATTGTCTTTTTCAGACAGTCAGAGGTAAAATATTTAAACAACATCTGTGCAGATACACTTTCAAAGTTCTAGTTACTTACCGTATACAAAGTCTGCATCAAGGTCAATGTCGGCATCTGCAGATAAGTAGAGAATGGACATGGGTATAAACCAAATAGAAACACACAGTTACTCCACATCAACATAACTTCTGCAGCAAATATAAGGTGTTCTATTTATTTTGCACTTTCATTGAAACTACTGACAAAGTCATATTAAAGCAACCTGTACCGATGTAGAAACTATTGCCTGAAGGACTTGCTTTCTAACTGTGAAAATTGAGAAAATAGTTCATAAGCAGCATTGGTCCATTCCCTGTATGTGTTTTTCACAGACAGCATGCTATTTTCCGTTTGACATAGAAGCTGGAAATCAGATTCAAAACTACAAATGTTCCCACAAATAATAATTAATAATGACATGATAAGTAATCAATACCCAACATTGTAACGTATTTTGCTCCCTCTACAGGGCTGCCTTCATCCATTGCCTTCCACATTATAGATTGTCTTCTAACTCATCATGTTATGATATTGTTATTCATTAATGCCCAGCCCAGCATGCTCCAGGCACTGTTAGCAGTTAATAAGTCAACCTTTTCTTTGCCCAGGTGTATGATTTACACTGACTCAGAATCAGACTGGCTGTGATCTTGAAAAGATTGTGTCACTGAAATGGTGTCATATTAAAGTGGCTCTCTTACACACTCCTGGTTGTGGATAATCAGCAGTTCAGGAGCTGTGTAACTTACCTTTGGAAGACATGATGGCTGGTCTGTTTGTGTATTCAGTTGACAAAACTGGAGAGACATAATGCAAACAGTTAACAAAAGGCTGGTGATTGCAGCAGCCTGCAGCTGGCGATGCGTCCACATCAGTATTTAATAACTTAACCAGGAACATTTGTTTTAGGAAACTAGCCATACAAGTATTCACGATGAGGTCTGCTATCTGAAAACTGTTGTTGCAGGGAGGAAGATTAGTATGGATTTGGTTTCATTAGTCACTCCATTTTAATTAAAGACTTTTAGAGGCTGTTTTAAATTGGCTTTTTCACTTTAGATGAGATGGAGTTGACAGCTTGGAAACTCTATATGTCCGAACAAATTGCCTCTCTGCGTACCTCTACTACAGATTTAGGAGCAAAATGATATCCCTGCTCTCCACTGAAACTTTAACTTAAGAGGCTAATAGCAATATTGATCCTCTTCCCCCATCCCTTTCTATCTGCATCCTTTACAAACACAAAGACACACACAAGCGTCTCGTCTGATCTACATCTCCTGACCTATAATCATTAACTTACACAGATTAACAGACTAACAATTCCATTCCTGTCTCCATTTTGTTTAAGTGCGCCGCTGTGAATTGTGGACTTCGGTGCTTTCATCTATTATGTGTCTGGGCCTATTCAATGCACCACTGAGCTTATGGGCATACTAGGATGTTACTCATTAATATATGAACACATATGAAACAGCTTCCGCTTTCATTAACCTTGAACCTTGCACAGTTTGATAGAGGTTATAGATGGTGCAATGAAGAAAGGCTTTGGTGACGCCTGACTAATAATGAAGTAATGATACGCAATGATTTTTCCACATAACAATACTACCTGTAAAGCGCATTACTGTTATTAGATTTCAATTACCAAGACTGGTGAGAACAGAAAACTGTCTGTCCTATAACATACAGTACCTTTACAACATCGAACCTCGTTTGCAATTTGCCTCAGTGAATAATGGCGCAACTTGGTTAAGAACAGATAAATGTAGACATGGTAGATAGACATCAACTAACACCTGCAAAACACAGATTTAGATTGTACTTGTGAGGAACTTGGTCCTATGATTAGTAACAGTTTATAGCGGACACACATGCACACAACAGAATTATTTTTATGACATGCACATTTAATTTAACAACTGTTTTGAAAAGCAAATGATTACTCACCTGAGCTGCTGAAGGCTCTGTGTTACCTCTGTACAGATGAGTGTGTGTGTGTGTCCCTGACTGTGCCTGGATGCAGAACAAACTCCAACCCCACAGATCCACCCACTAACACACACACGCACACGCACACGCACACCTGCATACACACACATACCATGTATACATCACTTCAGGGGACATTACATTGACTTACATGCATTTCCTGGAGACTTATCCTAACCTTAACCATAACCAACACATGCCTAACTCTAACCCTTACCCTTAACCTTACCCTAACCCTAACCCTAAACCTAACCAAGTCTTCACCCTAAAAATAATGATTCCCCTCATGGGGACCTCCAATTTGTCCCCATAAGGGAGGCGAGTCCCCACACGTGACTATGTAAACAGATTGAGGTCCCCACAAGTATAGTAATGCTAGGCCACACACACACACACACACACACACACACACACACACACACACACACACACACACACACACACACACACACACACACACACACACACACACACCCAAATACACACACACACACACACACACACACACACACACACACACACACACACACACACATACCCACCCACAGCCATACCTCAGTCCAGCCGCTCTTTTTGATGTTGACAGTAGTCTCATAAAGTTTGTACTTTGCTGCCAATAAAGAGTATAACAGTTAACCTTTGGAATCATTATTATTGGATGGATTTGAAGTATAGGGTCCCTTGTGAAATAAAATGGTTTGGGCAAAAATGCTTAAGAATAGAATTCTGAAAGAGAAATATTAAGCTGCACACTAAAATCAGTATATTATCTAAGTGAACATAAAAAACATTATTACTGTATGTGTGTTCAAACATACTTTTATTTATTTATGCCAAAACACAACATGTGGCTACACAACAAGGCCTCACACACAAAATGAACAAAGCATTTAGTAAGTACAGCCTTCATCTTTGAATAGTCAGACAAAACAATTGATAAAAGCCTGACAGGAGATTCACAACAATTAAGGGTTGCTCATTTGTTCTTTCGATTTGATTTGGCTAAGGCTACTATCAATGAAATATTGCACACAAAAAATGTACATTTTTAATTTTACTTCTCCCAAACTCAGCACCAAAACTTTGTCTCTCTTTTTTCAAAAATGTACATGTGTGGCTCCTCAAAGCATCAGAGAGCCTGAGCAAGCAATTTAATAAACAAGAATGAAAGAGAAAAGAAAGAGACAAAGGCTTCATAGCTTTGCGACACTATGTGTGAGGGGAAACTAATCATAGTCTGCTGGAGACTAGTTAATCCAAGCGGAGCCAGTGACGGTGCGGTTAAGTGATTTTTTGGAGAAGAAGGCAGTGAGACAGCTGATGCAGGAGCTCCCTCCACTATGGTTAGTCAAACATAGCGGTGAAGGAGCTCGTGCTGATACCTGTGTTCGGTCAGAGAGCTGTGGCAGTTCAGATTGTCTTATATAAGGCTCATCACATTTACATGTAGAGATACACATGCACCTGTGATATACACAATCATATATTTTCAGTGTATGCACACACATATGTGCATGCAAACACACACAATCTTTCAAAAGCAGACCTAAATTAAGGATATTAGACTGTATATCGTATCTGTACACTATCTGTATATAATTATATATACTTATACAGTTTATATGTTTGTTTTACAATCCAAAAGTGAAAAACATTATCCAGGACAAATAAACAACAAATTGACAATTCCTAAAACCTATAGGCAATAAATAGGAGTACAACACAATTAACTGTAGACCACACAACATTTAGAAATTTTCTTGGGATTTTAAGACAATCTTGTGTCCAAGGTGCTACTGGCTAAAACAAAGAACTGGACTAGACTTTCACAGAAAGGCACAAGAACGGACAAGAGCACGGAGGGACTGGCACGGTCACAACGGAGTACAGGGGCTAAAGGTTTGTCTTTAAGATGTATTTACATATCACACCTCTAAACGAATACCTCCCTCTAACCCTATCATATAACCAATTATCACAATCATCCATTTCATCAGTGTTATAGTGGGTTCATATCAAATAAAACGATCATCACATCAGAAGGCAGCTCAGTCAGGTGAAGTTCCCTCAGTTTTCTGCTGGAGTCTCCTTGACGGCCGGTGTAGCTGGAAGAGTTCAACGACAAGAGGTTTAGTTGAAGCACCATGCAAATCATTATGCTTTCGCTCTATTTCCCTCTGTCATTTACTTACATGATTCACTGAAAGGACAATGTTCACTGTTCTGCTATCACAAGGTTGTGTTGCTGACCTTTTTCAAAATAAATGAAGGCACCAGAGCCTTAGCTAATTAGCTTGCTTGCTCACAAGATGGACACTTTTTGGAAAAGGAAGATATGTACTGCTGCACGTAAGATAAGCTATGAGTGTGCCAATGACATGTTCTGCCTCAAGATCAATCACAAATATAGACTTCAGCGTCATGAGAAACAAAAACAAACCTGCAGAGGTAAAAAAAAGTGGAGAAATTAAGATTTCTTCATTGACTTTTTTTAAAATATATTTGCCATTGTTCTGTATTGGGTTTTTGGTAACAGTGTGGGAAAAGTCATCGGCAAAATGGAGCCCTGGCCATAAGCTCATTTTCAGAGGGTACTTGTCATAAAATAGTAACAGAAATAAAAGGAAAACATGGATGCTGTGAACAAATGACCATGTATTAGATTCTAAACAAGTCGATGCTGCTTGATTGTTATTCTTTATTTAAAGGTCCCATGTCATGCTTTTCCTGTTATTACCCGTCCCCTTGTGTGTTATGAAGATTTAATGCATGTAAACGGTCTGCAAAGTCACAAACCCTCAAAGTACACCCTGTAGGGAGTAAAACTCTAACACAGAAAATACCTGTCTGAGCTGCCCCAGAACACCTTGTTGGAGATTTCTCTTTTTCCATTGTTTTCTTCCTGGGTATGGTGACGTGCCCATACCCAAATGGACCAATTAGTGGAGCCGTTACGTTACGTCTGTGGATTAATCCGCGGACTTCCTCACCCACACACACTCAATCTTTTCTCAGCTGCAGCTCCGCCGATTTCTCCTCCCTGAGACGGCGGAATGCGGCGAGGCTGTGAGTCGGTATGTGAGCACACACACAAACTCCCAGCCAGACTGCGGGTGTGTGTGTGTGCTCGGGCTGGGTTTTGTTGTGTCTCGGGACAGGGAGGGGGGGTGGTGTTAGGAGCTCCAACAAGCTGTTTAGGACAGAGAGTGAATACACATACTATATAGAGATGCTGTATGAGAAACCAATGTGAGTTTGGAAAATTGCACAATATAAATCTATTTTAGTAGCCTATACCTCAACAATGGAATTATGATCAGTAGAAATGGCCATGACATGGGACCTTTAAGTGAATTCAAACCTGAAACAGCTTGGAAGGTATGGAAGTATTATACATTTATAAAGGGAGAGAGGCTGTGGCTAAGTGGTTAGTGTGCTGGACTTCGAATCAGTGGGTAGCAAGTTTGAGTCCCACTGCAGTCAGCATGTCGTTGTGTCCCTGGGCAAGACACTTCACCTCAAATTGCTTCCGTGGGGATTGTCCACAGTATTGAAGGCAGTAAGTCACTTTGGATAAAAGCATCTAACAAATGACATGTAATAATACAACTTGTATATTCTCTCTCAACTACACACACAAATACAGTGTACACATGCACACCGAGCGAATCGCCACCCCCCTCCCCCGGGCTATGGGCCCTCCCAAAGCGAAACTCATTATGGTCGTGTGTTGAGGGGTGAGCCAGAGGTGAGAGAAGCTGACAGAGAGTTCAATGTGCATCTTACCCGTGGGGACAATCGGGTTCTCATCCTGTGCCTCCTCGTCTCCAGGGGGCCTAAAGAGACAATCCACAGATTCTCATGTTAACCAGATCATATATGACAAAAAAGACGTTTGTTTTTAATCAGAGGCTGATATTTACCTGGGCTTCTGGTTGATACTGCAGCGGCACCTTCGACCTAATTATAAGACATAATTAGCTGTGCCTACCAGATGTCTAATTATAAAGATGTATTGTGAATGTCACCAATGTAAACAGTGGTTCATTTGTAATGATAAACATAATGTATTATGTATTTAGCGAACATAAAGTGTGAAAACAAGATGGTGTAGTAACACAGTGTGGAAATACAATTATGATTCATGCATTATTATTATTATAATTAGAGGGACTAAACACTTGATTCCGTGTTTGTGCACCCACTAACACAAACACACACACACACACACACACACACACACACACACACACACACACACACACACACACACACACACACACACACACACACACACACACACACACACACACACACACACACACACACACACACACACACACACACACAGAGGGTTAACATACTAAGAATGAGAAGAATGCCCAGTGTGAACAGCACCACGGCCAATGCCAATCCCCCGATCCTCAGGGTCTCATAGTCTACAGAAGAAGAGGATGACAGTAGGAGGAAGAACATTGATCAATATGTAATTTATTAATAATTGCAGAAAGCACAGATTTTTCTAAACTTACCATAAATAAAAGGGTTTTCAACTGTCTCCTTGCCATCTGTAAAAAAATGTATATAAGAAACCACACATTTAGAACCAAGGTGTTTCAAAAGAGAATAATAGACACAGAAAATAGAACAAATAAATGTTCTAAATGATTATCCTGTGTCTAATTGTTAATTGATCAGATATCTCATATGTCAAAATGCTTTGTAGTATTTGGAAAACAAAATCCCACTTTTTTCTCTTTAAAAAAACATAAAATTACTTTTGAAATTAAGTTGGATTCCATTCAGAATGACAAACATAATCAGTTTGACAAAACAGAAGCCCAAGGCACTGTAAATTATGTCCACTGTATGGTGTGGGCATGCATGTCTGTGTTTTTATACATCGGGGGTGGCAGCTTCTAAAACATGTCAATTTCTTCAACAATTGTTTTCAAGATTATAACCAAACCTTAAAAAATATATACAGTCTATTTGACACTTATAATGAATTGCATCCTTGGAGCAGCATCGCCAGTCACCGACCTTAATTTGAGTCGATCGACATTATCTCCAAAACTAGGGGGTTTTGTTGACTGATTTTAACCATACTATTACCACAGTTTTATGGTTTACAGGGTTTATAAAAGTACTTGTAATATAAACACCTTGCATTAACATTTTATATATTTTGTCATTATCACCTGTCTCTGAGACCAAACAACCACTCTCATCTCTACTGCATTGATTTAACTCCCTTGCATAAAAAAACCCACACTTTTCTTCGTCGTTTTCATGCTTAATCCATACTTCTGCCACTGCCATGCTGTAGTGGAGCAATCCATAAGGGTCTGATTTGATCTGGCAACCAATAGACCCACCTATATGGCTGTCAGGACCGAGTGTGACCCTATTAGAGATTACATGAAGAGTACTCACCCTGTGCACTGGGGTCTGCCACAGCTGAGAGCCAGCCAAAGAGGAGACGTGGTGTGAGTCAGAGGATAAGAGGAAAAAGGTGAGAGTGCAAGCACAGGATATTAGAAAGGAGTCAACAAATACTTCATCGCTATCCATCTCTCTGATATATATTCTATTTTACACAAGCTCTAGGCGAAACAAAAGACAGTTCAAAGCACGATTTAATCTATTACTGTAGTGACTGTGCACAATGTGTTCATATGTCTTACTTTTAATCATACACTATTAAACAGACCTCACACACACACAGAACCAGTGACACAGCCTGTCTGTAAAAGCCACACATAGAGAAGCAGTAATTGATGTTTTACTATAAGTCCACACCCAGTGTGTGCCTATTGGTGTAACACAACTTCCTGCTCTAACACTGCCTCCCTATGGACTATTGGTGTTGTTTGTATGCATGTGTGTACAGTGCAACTTACCAGCCACACACACCAGGAGTGAAGAGAGGAAGAGCAGAATAGTTTCCATGGCAACTGTAGACATATAGTAATAAAGAGGGAGGGTGAGTAAGAAAGAAAGAAAGAAAGACAAATACAAATGTGGTTTAGAGGTCTGTCTTGGCAAGCTACACTACTCCAGAAAACACAGTATATTCCTCCTGCAACAATGAAAGTACAGTTTATATACACAACAATACAAGCACTCATACAATTAAGTGAATGTTGTGAAGAAAAAAGAATCACATCACACAACACGGCTTTATACCAAACCCTGGAGTTTAACTGATGTAAAGGGATATCTTGCATAACGATCCGTGTTCAGAGTCTGCAAACATGTTCTCTTTTCCTGGCAAAGAGTACTCTTTCCTCCCTACCTTGACCTATTTTCATGTAGGTTAACCAATGCACACATGCCAACGGTTTCTGTAACAGAATGTGTGCATTTTGGAGGAACTGTAAAGTCACCCAGCGACTGTTTAACCATACTGACTGCAAGGCACCAGGGAACATTTTTCAATGGTTTACCATGAAACTTTATAGAGACATACATGGTCCCCAGAGGATGAATCATTTAGACTTTGGTTATCCTCTGATATTTTAATATCTATATTTATAATATTTTTCGTGATATGTCTTGACATATCTTAACAACTAACTTAATTAATTCCATATATTTATAGTTCTTAGATGAATACCAAAAATGACTTTGACAGTACCAACTTGCTCTCTGCACCGCCGTACATGGTTTTATTTATTTCATTCCACCTGACTTACTGTCCCTTTGTTTGAGTGGGTCAATTTATGTCTATCCAGCCATCAATAACATTTTAAATGAACAGATTCAATTATAGTCATTCGGAGAGAGATACTGACTGCAGCTTTCCTGCTCAGTGGCCGTTTGTACAGTATGTCTGGGCTTTGTATATTTGATTTGTGAGAACTCATACAGATTCAAGGACATTTATAAAATAATGTGACAGAAGATGACAGCACAGGAATTAAAGGCCTCCATTGGAATCAATAAGACTGATACTGTCTACCCTAAAGATGAAAATCAACCATACTGTCGAGCTGACCTCGAACATACTAGTTAAAATGTAGGAACTTGTGTTTTGTTTTGATATTTTTCAATGAATGTCAATGTGCATTAATTTATTTCCTTTGCACAGACATTCTGATAAGAGGCTCTCTTGTTTCTAAGTTTGCAGTACTCTTCTCCTTATATGTATTTACAGTATACTTAAATACTATGTCATTTAAAATGTACAGTGTACAATCTACAGTGTACACTGAACTATTCAAAAAGAGAATGTCTGCAGTCAGGAATTCAATTCGGTTGTGACTGTACAGTCAAAACTGAAGTCTTTAAATGTTTTTATTTTTTACTCTTACAGGCCTGTCTTACACACCTGGAAATATGTTTTTACATGAGAGGTGATGACTGATGGCATATCCTAAACAAATATATCATATATACATATCTCTGCAGTCACACAACTACAACAACACTGATTAAGCTTATAACAGCAGGTGGGAAATTATTTCAGTTAAGGTAGGTTTGCTCTTTATACAGCAGCATATTGCTGCCAGTGTTATAGAAAATAATAATGATTTCTAGTTCTAATCCGATACCTTATTTCCAAATGTTCTACATTTTATTTGTATACACTGGAGAATTGTACACAAAGAGGGGTATTTTATGGACAAAAAATAAAGTAGTTAGTGTTCTCTGGTTAACAAACTATCTAATGGTGACTAATCATTTTAGAAGTATCAGTTGGTTTCTGTGAGAATCCTTTGAGGTGTTGAGCATGCAGACAGTTAATGCCAGCCTTTCTCTTAACATCATATCACATATGGCACCCTGTCAGTTGCCTCTCTATACCTGGACTGACTGCACTAGAAGAATCAAGTTGCAGAGCCAGGCTCCCCATTGTCTGGGAGGAGAGTACAAGAAAGGGGCGGGCATAAATAAGTATCTGTTTGGGAAAGACAAGGAAACAGCAGGCAATGAGCTGTTTTCTGTAATGTGGGAACAAGGGAAGGGCAGGCTTAACGACAGCCAGAAAAGGAGACAAGCCGGCATTGTGAAGCAGCAGAGTGCAGGTGAAGGGCATGCAAAGGAGACACTGTTGGAAAAAGGGGGGGTTATTGAAGTGACAAATCCAGTATAAAATACATAGAGCTGGAAATGTGGTGAGGCAAATGTGACCAGGGAAGGAAATACATGAGGGCGATCAAAAAGAAAACATATTGATCCATTCTACACCATACTTTTTTGCAGAAGTGTGAATCTCAGACAAGATTTAGTTCAGTGTAAAACAATCTTTTTTAACACCAACGTCTACAATTACATTTAAACCGATGGTTTATTGTATGTGGGGTTTTACATGAGACCACACCCGACCAAAAACACAATGACACAGAGAGGATGATATCCTGTCAGAGGTCCTTCTGGTCTGCTGTAATTTATATTCCAATTGACATTAACGTGGGAGATAGAACTTCACATGAAAGGCTGCATTTTCTAAATCTCTGTGTCTCTGAGAGAACAAGTAGGCTACTTGTGGAATTCGATATGTGTGTGTATTGTATATATATGTGTGTGTCTTTGTTTAAATGCAAGGTTTTAAAAGTAAGGTCATTGTGTCAAATGCCTTTCACTCTATGCTTGGGCAAAGGACATCAATTTGGTTACTAAAGACCCTGAGGCTAAGTGTTCAAACAAATTAAATACAAAGTCCCAGTGCCAATTTATATACATTGACTATAGTTCAACCTTGATTATACTGGAGGGCACACATCACATCAGATCTCCTTAACCTTTGTGAAAAAAATACTCGATATCTGCCATCATAATGATGTTACATCACCACGACAACATTGTGCGTCGTTAGTGTCCAGTTATCTCCATGGTAATGTCTCCATCTAAACATATTCTGGTGCTGAAAGAGAAATGGGTTCAGGTGACGAGCTCGAATGGAAACACACAGATAACCGGAGTTCCCACATAAACAGGAGCAAGGGGTGTGGCAGGCAGCTTTAAAACCTTCTATTTATCTGATGAATATCCCCACATCTGTTTACAATGGCTGCATCGGCTACATAGTGATGGTAAATTCGGCTTTTGTTTGTGTAAATCGCGCTCTTACATCACAGATCGCCCGCAATTACGCACTGATAACCTCACCATTATAATGAAGGCTGAACGAACATCCATGTTAATGCCATGGTAAAACACACCGACAGATTTAATTCAAAGACTTATACACACTTGGCACAATATATTTCAACACCCGATGCGTGACGTCTGGGCATCCATCCACTTGTGCGTCCGTCAACCTGTGGATCATTTGATGAAGCAGAAAAAACAGCCATCATGCGCAATGTGATATCCCCTTTCAGTGTAGCCGTCTTTAATAACAGCAGTGACATCACGCACGACAACCGAAATTTGGCTATCAACGACATCGGTGAGAGAAAATGAATTGGTCACGCTCTTTTTAAGAATTTAAAATGTCTCTGTAATTGTAATTTTTTTTTAAAATAACGCGCAACCACTGAAGTCTAGTGATCATTGCCAGCAGACACACCCTCGTTCTGTATCAGTGATAATAAACCACAAGCAGCGTTGTAAATGGCATCTCTGCAAGTCAATGAGAGCAGCATCGTGTATCCAAAATATTGCAAATACTGCACGTTGGCATAAAATAATTTTACTATAAATGTGCTTGTATTCACTAAAATCCTAAAAACAAATTGCGTTTTCTTCCAACCCATCTTTGCATGCTATATTTACCCCTTCTTACTAAACATTTTCTGAGAACATAAAAATATATAAGACATCAAATATGTGCGCTTATCAACTTACCACCTGTTTCTCCAGCCGACTGTTGGCCAACAAACTGATATCCACCCTAAAAAATCAAGCAGCTTGTCTCCGGCTTTTTAGGCTACTATCATCTGTCAATATGCACACTGCTCACATCTACTTGTCCTGGCAAAAAATTGGTGTGATGGATAACAATGTGATTCCTGGAGTGACTGCTTTTTCAGTGCATTGAACCCTGTCTCTTGCTTTCTCTCGCTTTCTCTCCTCTCTCTCTCTCCCACGTCATAGACCCCCAGCATCATGCCAGACTCATGTGTGATTGAAAGCTTATGCTTGCTTAATCTTTATTGTATGTGTGCTCACTATATTGCCCGTTGATCCCACACATTAGACACACAATTATGTTACACAAGATGGCCAATGCACATGAATACGACACAGAGAACCCACACTTTGACATACAATTTCAGGAGAACAAGTTAAAAACGTCACATTGTGGGTATAAAGGTACAGTACACAGAGTTTCACAGCTAGAGTCCCAGCTCATTTAGAGAGTCAAGGGTCACACTTGCTTTCTTTTTTAAAGTAAATACAAAACAAAGTGTCCTTTCTTCTTTGTTCTGTATTGAAACATCCCAGATGTGTCCCTGAGTATAAAACACATCTATCAATCATAAATAATTGTTCTCATGGTTAAACTAATTAAGTAGATCACAGTAGAGTGGACTGTGTTTCATTGGCACAGAACACATAAGAGAAGGGCCAGCCATCTTTAAAGCTTGTTTAACATGTATGTCAACACAAGTATACTTCATAACAAGAGACAGAAGAATCAAGAAGCCTGGACTAAAGTCAGTGCATCAATTGTTGTGTATCAATAATCAGGTTTAGGTCATTCACAAAACCTGTATGACAGAGTATAAATATGGAAGATGGAAGACAGGAGTTCTTTGTCCAAATTGTGAGGTTTATCGTGCATGCAACTTTTCACCTTCAGCCTAAAGTATCTCTTTCATCTTTTCATTCTTCTATGAGTAAATTCCTTCACCTCTCTGCTTCATAGTGCAGGGTTTATTGTGGTGGGGGGATTAGACCCCAGCAGGAGACAAAGGGACATCATGGCTTCTCTTGCTGTAGGAGGCACAGACAGAGTTAAGATTAAAAAGAGAAAACCTGTGGCATAAATGTAAGGCATCTTAATAATTTGGATGTCAAACTCACCCTCTTATAAAGTTTTTTTCATATCTATTCTTACCTGCATTTTGCTGTAGATCCATGGCAGAACACTTTTGACTTTGGTGTAAACACCCGGTCTGTTTTTTTCACCACAGCCAACTCCCCAGCTTGTAATCCCGGCCAGGTACCAACGGCTGTCTCCCTTACACACCAGAGGTCCACCACTGTCCCCCTGGAAATACCGTTTGTGTTAGTTAACACTGGTTTTCAGAGGTGTATGTTTACGTCACAGCGGATGTTAACATGTCCATTCACGTTGAATGCTCACCTGACAGGAGTCTTTGCCTCCATCCAAGTCCCCAGCACAGAGCATGTGCTTGGTCACGGCGCCTCGATACACTACGGGACCGTTACACACACCTGTGTCTATGAGGTCCACAGTCACTTCCATCAGTTCCTTGGAGACAACGCCTGTGTTGGAGGAAACATATGCTGATTTGTATTTCCAACAAGACTCCTTTTATAAGAATGTCTAATAATAGTGTCGCAATAATTGCGATGCTTTATATTGTGTTTAAGAAAAAGATTAATTGATTGATAAACAATCCACACCAGGTATTTCTTTCTATCTTTTATTTCCAATACAATTATTAATCATGCTGTTGTGCATTCTTAGTTCATGTCCATCTTTCTCATTTTCTATCATTCTCAGTATATACAGGACAGGCATTTACTTACTCTCAGACAAATCATTCATGTCTCCCCAAGGGATTGAGACTTTATTCTACCTACTTCTTCTGAGGAATACCCGCCCCAACCTTTTTGGAGTTGTTTATCTGGTCTGACTGCATTCTTATTGCCAATTGTAATCCTTTGGGTTCTATATCATGCGTTACATGCCTTCATTTATATATTATTGTATTATTTAGTTTAATGGAAATATTATATTGTATTTCCTCGAGAATGCATTAAACATAGTTCAAGACACAGAAAGACAATGTTTTTAAATAAACAGATAAATAAATTCTGATCTGGTATAGCTTAAATAGTCCCTTTGCAACTTAACATTTTGCATTTTAACATGAGGTTTATACTGTTACGGTGCTTGTTTTCAAGGAAAGCTGCATTTTTAGGGTTACCTGAAACTTCTTTATAACAATACGTTATCCATGAACTCAAGAACAACCTCTTAAAACATTCAATTCAATTCAAAACCTTTATTTATCCAGGTAAAATCCCATTGAGATCAATGATCTCTTTTTCAAGGGAGACCTGCAGCAGTAGGTTCCACAAGAAGACATAAAAACATAAACAACAGAACAACAAAAGGACATCATACATACATTCATTTACAAGGTTTCTGTACAATTGAACAATCCCTAACAATGAAAATTGCTTATATGCAGGTGTACCTTAAGCAGAATATGTAAACGTGTCTTTTAATATAGTGAGCGCTAATGGTGATACAATATTTTTTAAAAAAAATCATATTCTTACCTGATCCTGACTCAGTGGTGCCAAATCCTGAGGTCCAACATGCGGTTCCAGGTTTAAATTCTTGGTCAAAAGCTGGCAGGCAAGCTGGATGGACATTATCTGGATAACACAAAAATACATATATTTGTTTTACATTCTAGATCTACACAGGGCTGTTATTTTTCATCAGCTGCAGAGCAGCACATACATCTCTGTACAGTAGGTTGTAGATATTGAGTGATCTGTTTGTCAGCTGCTGAGTGAATGTTTATTGACACAGGCTCTTGAACGCAAACTGTCAGTGTTTCACGAGAGTCAGTCACCCACCAGGTCACACTGCAAAACAAACTTCCTACATATGCATACTCCCTTCAAACAGGTATGAAAGTAGGGTGAAAATGATAAGGATTTTAAATAAATAATTTACTGACCATTGAAAGTAACTTGTGTTTCAAGTTTTAGCAGAGCGACATCCTGGTCATTAGTTTTGCTGTTGTAGTTATTGTTGAGTATAATCCTCTTAACCATGTAGGGCTGAGTAGGTCTGGTCAGAGACATCAATCCAACATACACTTTCCAGTGCTCCGTGGAGAGAGATAAAGAGTTGCTGCTGCAAATCAAAACAAAAAATAATTCAGTCGAAAGCAATGGGTTTCTCATAAATAAACAAAACAGCTACTTAAATACCAATGTTTTGTGAATGGCAATTAAGTTTCAGCAAGTTTTTAAATATTAGAATCTTGATATAAACACAATATGCATTTCTATAATTACAATGTGCATTATGAACTGAGACAAAAACAAACACGTTAAGAACAAAAATGAATCCATAAGTTTGTATACAAATTCTCAGATGGGTTTAATCTGTCAGTCAGTCACCTTGGGAAGCAGTGGGCAGCAGTCAGAACAAAATCATGAGAGATCAGGACTGCCCCGCAGACGTGGGATCCTCCGAAGTGCAGGGACACCTGCCAGGGCCACTGGCCCTCCTTAGCCGCGCTACCCCCAATGATCCGGGACGTGGTCTTCTGGCGTCCGCAGTCTGAGAATAAAAGAAAAATGTAAAATACTGCACATGTCCAAAGAAACAGCTAAACAAATCCTTTATAGTAGGTGCTGAAAGATAATTCAATATGATAGATTCACGGGTATCAGGTGGCAAAATAATGATCATATTGTGTTACTGCTTCCTTTTTTGTTTTGTTTGCCCTCCCAGAGGGACTGTGTTGCTTTTTGTTACTGCTTCTCAAAACGGGTTACTAATTTTTTGCTCGTACAGTGCATGTGACAAATTAGATTTGATCATACAGTGAAATTCAGTCCATTGCACCCAAAACTAATATGTTTATTCTTTTTATGATCTTGCCTATTTCAGTGTGCCAACTTAGTTAAATATGGAATATGATGCAAATATAGAATTGTTTCTGTGATGATATTTGCATAACACAGTAGGAAGTGGGGAGTGATGATAGGAAAGGTAGACTCAGGGACTACAGGTGGACGCTGGGTATTATGAAATGCAACAGTGCTTGAACAGCAGCAGCAGTTGTATAAAGTGTAAGCATAGTTTAAGGTTAGCAGTAGGCCAGCAAATGAACTAGCAAAGCACCAGATGGCCTAGGTAAACAGGATTGAAAGGGTGTGGTGGATATGTGTTGCAGTGCCAGGAAAAGGCTGTGTGCGTGTAGAAGCAGACTCCAGGACTGTGGTTGAATGTCCCAACTAGCCTGCATGTTAAACCTTGTGTTTTGCATATCATGGTTGGTATCCTAGTTGTTTAAATGCAACCATGTCATCCCAACACTGAAGGCTCGAGTTTAATTAAGGTTATAGATTGAAAGAGCGCAAGAACTTAAAAAAAAGAAGGTATTGTCAGAATGTCAAGTGATATTGATCAAGTACTCAAATGGCTTAATGTGCAGTCGTACATTGCGTGTGTGTTTGTGAGTATATGTGTAAGAAAGAGACAGAAAAAGACAAGGGCTGTGTGTGACACATGGCTTTAGGAACAGATGGAGGCTCCTTACCCACACACTGCAGGGAGACGGCTTCCTGGTTTGGACACGATGAACTGCGTAATGCCACAGTGAGAAAAACATGTCAGGTATAAATGCATGCACCAACACAGCTTTGTATTGTAGTATTATAACAAAATAAAAGCAGAAAATAAGTCTGTGGGATAACTACTTTCACAAATGATTCTAAAATGTGAAATGATGAAACATATTTTTTATAATAAAAAGATTACAGGTTAGAACTGAGCTGTGTATGAAACAGGTGGGATACGGACTAGATTGTTTACCTGACTTTAACCCGACTCTGGAGAAGCGGAGATGTTCTGCTTGTCAATGATAAAACATTGCCCCCCTGGGATTTAAT